CTGTTATAATCATGAAGAGCAGTGTTTGAAATCTGTTTCTCAAAGTATGCATTAGTGTACATATTACAAAATTGAGTTTGTTGATCTCATAATTGAAGGCTTGCAACAAATGTTCATGTTATTGCCTGATTTAACAAAACTGAAAATTGGTGGCAGTCGGGCAAGGTAAGCTTCAATGACAGCTTGTTCTGCACAGTTTGTGTAGTTTCGTGTTTTTGTGGTAGACCACCAGGAAATGCCACGTATGTGCCAAGGGAGGAGATCCTGCAGCTCCCTAAGGTTCTTTTATTTCTTGTAACTTTTGGTTTTTCTCTTCTAGCTTCATGGAGGAAAAAGAGTGATGGAATGCCTAAAGAAGGCTCTGAAGATAGCAAATCAGTGCATGGACCCTTCTCTGCAAGTCCAACTTTTCATAGAAATTCTGAATAGATATATCTATTTTTATGAAAAGGAAAATGAGGCGGTGCGTGGATATGCATTCTCTCTATTGCATCTTTTTTAGAGAACATTTCTTTAAGATCTTCATTCACACTTAGACCCCAAATCATGTCTCTTCAACTTGCTCTGTAGTCTCTCACGAGAGGCACTGTTCTGGTAATAACAGAGTAGTCAATTCTTGATATGCTAGTAAAATTGTGGATAAAACTTCATTCTTAGATGGGGAAAACAGATGTTTGCAGTTTAGTTATGAACTTAAATATTGTGAGACTTGGATACCTTAAATATTTACAAGATCAAAACTTACTAAGACTTAGAATCTTAACTACTTTCTCATCCAACTTTAGCGGTACCTAAGGTTTCCCTTACATACATAAGGGAAAGAAAGTTCTTACAGCTGTTCAAGCTCACTGCTGGGTGTTTCACAAATGGCTGGTTTAAGCTTTAATTTCAAGAAAGAGATGTGACATCTCATGTACCTGCTAAAATTCTGCATTTGAAATCTGAGATAGTTACCTCGGCCATTTTCTGTTAGCAGATAACTAGTTAACTTGCCCAGTTTGAAAAAGCAGCTTGGTCAAGTAGTGATCAACATCTGATGTCATCATTTGATCAAGAGCAGATGTTAATGAATACCCCCTAGTTCTTACTTTTAGGGATTTTTAGACATAAATTTTTAGATTTAGACATTAGGGATTTGCTGACTTTCAAACTGAACTGGCTTCTCACCATAATAGTGCTCTAGTATAGGAGATGCTGTATCTGATAGAGATGAAAAAAAAACTTTGAATTTGAAAGCACTTGGCAGATGTAAAAATAAAGTGGTGGTCTGCAGTGCATTTTGTGCTGTGGTGTTCTGTGTATGAATAAACTGGAGAGAAATGCTATGGTAAAAGTTACAAAGCTATGAGGTTAGTGACTTAAGTTCTTCACATTTGCTGGGATTGGAGGAATTTCCACAAAACTCTGATATCAGAATGGTCCTATAAGGAGCAAGAGAAGGCAGCCTCCAACAGTTTGTCTGCATACAGTCTTAGCAATATTTCAAAGAACTGTCCAAATACCGATAGTTGAGAGCCAAGTCTTGTAAAACTCATGTCGATGTACTTGCACACAAGTCTTATTGATGACTTCTGTTCTGTTTACATTCTCCTGTAGGTGACAATTCAAGTTCTGAATCAGCTTATACAGAAGATAAGAGAAGATCTCCCAAACCTTGAGTCCACTGAAGAAACAGAACAAATTAACAAACACTTTCACAACACACTGGAGCACTTGCGTCTGAGGAGGGAATCACCAGAATCTGAGGGGCCAATTTATGAAGGTCTTGTTCTTTAGGAAGATACACTCTGTACTTACTTCTTTTCATTTACATACCATTTTTTTTTTAAGATAGATTTATAGGTTGTGCCTTTCAGAAATGTCAAGTTGAGTTAACATTCATGTGTTCAGTCTGGCACTTCAAACACTTGTGTTGAGTACTCTAACAAATTTGAAAGGTTGGACCAGCAGCTAAAGGTTTCATCAGCTAGCATGGCTGAAACTTTCTTTGAAATCTGTGTGACATGGTAGGGCTCTTCCGGTTCTGATTTCTCTTCTGTCTGTTCACTGTTGCTTCTGTAGCACTAGAGTTCTAAACTGGCAGTGACTGTCATCTGAAACTGTGTCTGATCCTTACAGAGCATCAGATTTTTGGGATTACTATATGTCAGATTCTGCTTGTGCTTTTCTTTTAATGCAAGTTAAGACTAAGTGTAATATTTTTCCCTAAAAACTAGAATATATTAATGCATGTTTGGAGACTTTTAAAGTACCATGTTCAAAAACAGAAGTTATATTTTGCATATTAAGGCTCTGTGACATTCAGTGAGGGCCAGTACTGTGCACAGGGCATATTTATCAAGATAATTTTGTTCCAAATAGTATAAAAATAGAGAAATTGCAATCTATATAGATATGTATAACCTTCATTACTGTAAATTTAGGGGAAAATGCATTACACAAGTTTATTCAGTATCACAATTTTGCACCAGTGAAACAATAAAGTTGCTATTAACACCTGTTGTTTCATGTCTCTTCAGAGCCACTGTTGAACCCAATGCTAATGTTGAACCTTCTGATAAAAGCAAAAGAACTTCTGTTTTGTAGGGACAGAAAATCAAGGCATAGTTAACCTGAAGAAGCTGGGAGGCTGCTAGCCTTTCTAATGGAGGAGTTTATCGTGCAAAACCTGTATTTTTCCAAATGATGCTGCAATGATGTGTGTTCACATTTCAAAATACTTTTATGACACATCTTGAGAAGAGTGGTGGAGAATCCTACTGGATTCTAGGTCTGTGCTAGAGAGACGAGTGGCAACCAAATGGCAAAGCTGTAGGAAACTAAGCAGTAGAGAATTGCCAATAGCAACTGCTGTGAAGACTGGTCTGACTAACTGTATTTTAACGCTAGTTGCTGAAAGCTTTGATATGTCTGGTTTACCTTAACTGAATGTAATGTTTTAAAGCTAACTGATTGAACTTCCGTACTCCTTGAGTTGACCACTGTTGTGAAAACTGTCCTGGCTTGATTGGATAGTGAATGGGACCTTGGTGGGAGTGTCCAATAACTTAGTGCTGTTTTCTGAAAAAGGCAAATACGATCCTAGGAGAACTATGGAATAGACACAATTAGATCATTGATCTACTGATGTTAAGTCTGGCTTGGGGAGGAGGAATGGAGAGATAATCTAATGGCTTTACTTGCCCAGTGGTATAATTACTGCTATTCAAAAATCTTAATGTTGTTCTGTATCTGTTGATGCTGTTCCTCTTATGAGAATTGTTAAGCTGATTGTTTTGTTATAAAACATCCATAACAGAACATGATGATCAATGTAGATAATGTTCATATAGTAGGCGTATGCTCTCCTAGTTTACAATATTTGCTAACCATGTTTGTTTAATCTTTAAGGTCAGTCCTTGTAACTTAGGAATTGTCTTTGAATAATGGTTTAGCAGGTTCAACTGCAGTTACCCAAATATTGTAGGCCAATGCTTTTTCCCCCATGTACCACTTGTTACAAAGTTACAACTCTTCCACAGTTCTTAATTACTTTTATTGAAATTTTCAAAGTAAATTGATTTCAAAATACTGTCTGTAAACTTTTAATATCAACTGTACGAGCATGCATTTTGGCTGTGGCAATGGACAACTGTGCTGTTCAATAGCTATCGCTCTTGTCAGCAAAGGAAAGTGTCTGTTAAGCTACATGGGAAATGTTTATGATAGTGGAAACAAACTTAAATCACTAGTAATGTTCAAATTGATACCTTTTGTGGGACAAATCTAGCCAAAACTCAGGATCTAGCTTTGTGATCTCTTGTGGCAGAGGCAGAATGTCAGAAACAGTATGTGGTTGTTAACATTCTTGGTTTTCACCCTCATGGTCAATAGCATGGCTGTAAATTTTAACAAACGTTTTTGAGTCATGCTGTTCATGATGCATGATGTGGAAAATGTCTAAACACTTCAAGTAATTTTTTTTTTTTGATCACTGATGGATGAATAGATCCAATGGGTGGGGTGGGCAAGATGTTTTTTTTCCTTTTGGATCTAGCCAGAACTAGTAAAAGTCTTAATGGGAAATGTCTTAAAAATTACTCCAAGGCTAGTTTACCTAAAGCTCTGTCCATAGCAAGATCTGTCTGTCATTGATCTCATAATTATCCTTACTCTATACTTAGAACAAAAGAGAAAAGGGTAATACCTGTCAGTCCTGTAAGGAGTAGAGGTTTGACTTGAGTACATTCCTGCCTATGCATGATCCTAACAGGGAGTAGGAAGTCATAGCTGAGGGAGGAAGCTCATGGTGAAACTCTTCCAGTATATAAACTCTCAGTTCTCCTAACTCCTGTCACAAAGCTCAAAACCCTTTTATATTCCTGTTCCTGAACTTAGTTCTACTAAAAATTCTACTCTTATTTCTCAATCAGCTTTTCCACTCAGATCAATGCTCCCATACCTGCTACAATTGCTCAGCCTCTCTGGTACCCTGACTGTTCTGGTGCCTCTTGTCCCATGCTTTTCATGGGCACCAGTATTTAGGTTTTTTGCATTGATCATGATCTTGTCTGGCTTGCCACTAAGGGGGGGAAAAAAGCATACTACACTTAATAGCTGAGACCCTTGGCATCTTACGAGTGAGTTTAGGGGTAAAATATAATAGGTCCAAGGTTAAGACTTTATGAAATTCCTTACCAGGAATATTTACAGTTACTAAAAGTGAGAGAGCCTGAACTCTGATTATTGTCCATGAATGCTGTATTCCCTTTTCAGCACTTTCTGGTAATAGTGCACTAGCATTAAAATACACTGTTGGCATGATTTCCCAAAGAGCTTTGAGAAATTACCTTTCTTTCATTGCAGTGATTTCTCCAGCTACATGGATGACTGTATTTCTATACATTCATAAATACCAGTATTCCATAAACTACCCAGTGCACATTGCACTTAATACCTGCAGGCGAATATTAGCTAGTTTCTGCTCCCACTGAAAGCAAGATGTACTAATTGCTTTTTTTTCACATAAAAATATGAGGATGAATTTTGGCTTTTCCTGGACACAAGAGTTTTATAAAGGCTTTCCTAAAGCTCATGTGACACAGTGGGTATAGAACAGGGTTAATGGCTGAATTCACCCACAGAAGCCAAAAGGAAGTCTCATAGAGTGAATACTGCACACAGTGCCCATGGCAAGCTGCTCTGATGATCATCAAAAGCGTGTATGGAGCCCAACACAAAGCAAACACACAGACAATAATTGCTAAAGACTTTGCTACTCTTTTATCCCGGGAAAGTCTAAATCTACTTGACATAGTGTTAGCAATGTCTGCTCTGCTGGTGGTGTTGCATACGCTTTCTGCAGTTTTATAGAAACCATTCCTATGAGGCTTGGTCTCAACTTCCACCTGAAGTGGTGGAAGGTCTTGATTGACATTCAAATTTAATGAGTGGTTGTCAAGCTTATGTAGGCTGAGCCTTGAAGCCTTTTTTGGGGGAGAAAGGCTGCTTGTGTTCTTCTCTTTTTTGTGTCTGTTAGCAGGTTTTACAAAAAACACAGTGTGTTCCCTTTTTTTGCCCTGGAAACTCATTTCACAATCCTCTTGACCAGGTGATAGGTTTTCATTTCTGAGGGATGTGCGTTTCCTGATGTTGAGGTAAATACTTAAGTTAAAGTATGTAACAGTGATGAAAGGTGTAAAGAATTCAATAGTAGAGGCAATCATTAGGAAATACCAGTTGTAGAAGAATTCTGCATGACACTCTCCTTCAGGGAGGATGCTCTCTTGGGCAATGTGCTCCCAACTGAGAATGGCTGGACCGTAGAGAAGAAAAGCAGCAATCCATACAGTGATCATCTTCAATACTGCATTTCTGGTCATCCCTTTCTGAGCCCTGTAACTGACCTGAGAGAGAAAAGTTAAGTCATATATATAAAGTCATATACATTACTTGTATCTCAGTTACATGGCTACTTTGGAATATGGCCCCCTCTGTCACTAGTGAGGGTTGATAATACCTTGGCTTAGGGATGACTTATACCAAGCTTACCAATACCAGAGAAAAGCTATTTCTGAAATATCCATTCCAACAAATGTTATGAGGGTGACTGGATATGTTCTGAGAACGTGCATTGGATCTTAAAAACTAGAAAATCAAGGCTTTTCCAGAGCAAGTAACTACTGCTATTTCTAGATTGGTTGTCACCAGTTGCTTTCATGTTCAATTGCATTAGCTGTGACACCAGTTTACAGAAAGTCTAAGAACATGGTCCTTCAAAATTCACTTATTTAGAATTAAAAAAAAAAAAAACCATAAAAGGATCTGAATTCATAGAACACCCATGCAAGTGCTTTTCTTCCTGCTTTGTGGAGAGTGTCCCTCTTTTTTTTTTTTTCCCTTAATGTGAAAATCACACCAAAAAAATCTAATGGATAACAGCTCTTACTTCTGTTTGATATCTCTTAATTTCATTCTTTTATGAAGTACTTGCAGAACTCTTACCTGCAATTAAGATGTATAGATGGAGTGTTGTGGTCTGTAAAGTGCTTTACAGGAAAAGTAACTGATTCCCCTTATTTGGAAAATAGAAAAGCTAAGGTACAAAAACAGTACATCAGTAATACTGACTCAGTCAATCGTATTGGCAGTAGAACTCAGTAGAATCTTAAAACCAAGATTTTCTACTTCTCAATATTGTAATTCCCTGGTGTACTGAACAATATTCATATAGTGAATTGGAATTCAGTCTTCACACCTCTACAGTGGCCACACAGTATTCTGGAATATGAAGTCCTCAAGCTTGGATTCTGTATAGGATTCCTGTTTACTGCCCAAATCTGTGCATCTTGATCTTCAAAGCTAATGCTGTTCTGGTAGAATACCCACACAGCTGAGGAATCCTGAGTTTGTCTGAACCTAGTCTGATTTTACAATCATTGACAGAGCTACTAATGATTTCAGGAGCAGTCTTGTAGGAAAGTTACCATTTTCATTGAGATGGAGAATAATTTACAACTTCATATATTCCTGTTCATATGTCCTTATACTGCCCTAACCCAACAGGCAGCTTTTGTACTCTTGCTTGAGGAGGGATTTTTATATGGAGGATTAATTTGAAGTATTTTAAAGTGGCTGTTTTCTCATTTATTATGACCAGTTTCCTTTTCTGTTTCTGAAACCATCCAGTCTATATATTTATACTATGTGTATAGTCATGAGAGTTTGGTTTATGAAAGCAAAATTCACCTAGGAAATAAAGGAATTGTAAGTGTTGACTGTTTTAAGAATTAATCTGTTCATTTCTCCCTCTTTAAAAATAAGTTGGTAAAACACTAAGTTGCATATAAAGTATTAAAGTGGTCCTGCAGCCTCTCTGTGTACTGTCTGCCAAAAAAGTATCATTCCCTTAGTATGATTTATAATGAGCAATGAAAATGTGTGTGGAGAAGTTTGTGTGGAAGGGTGAAATGCATTAGGTAAAGTGTATTTTCAGCAACATACAAAATACTTTGCGGCCATATATTATGGTCTAGGTGAAAATGAAGTTACCTTTTGATTTTGCAAAGTCTACTCAACTCTTTTCAATAACTGACATGCTGCATGACTGAGCAAGGCTCTAGTTCTTTTTGTGACTGTTAACGTAGAAATAGCATTTGCATCCTTTGAAAGATGTTAATTTATATTCTGCCATATTTGAACCATACACAGCTGTATAAATCTAATTCTCCCTGAGAGTTTGGTACCCATGGCAAGGAGATCTGTCTCTGCCTTGTGCTGCAATGGGGATGCAGCTGGGCTGGCTTGGGCTATTAGTTGTCAGCAGGCGCATTGCCATGTTCTGGGGGAGATGCTCTGTTTCAGCTGGGTAATACTTTTTAAGCTTATCTAGCGTGTGGCTGGGGTGGAGCTGAGTCCACCTTGTTCCCTCTGTGCTTCGAGCCAGAACAGCAGCATATACAAACTGTCCAGAGTACCTCTTCCCATGTAAAAGTGAGAAGCAAATGTCCTTTCTGGCAAAACTGATCACTCTCAGCACTATCCCCATGCCCGAGGGGAGCTGCGTAGATCCCCCCATCTCCTGTGGTGTTTGAGTAAGGTGCAACAGGGCTGACCTAAGCAAACCATCGTGCTTGAAAGGGCAGCCTTAGTGCCCCTTCAGACCACGCTCAGGACCGCTTGCCCAGCCCTTACCGCTTTCGTGACAGAGATGAACCTGTCGAAGCTGATAAGGACGATGTTGAAGACGGAGGCGGTGCACACCAGGTAGTCAACCACCAGCCACAGCTTACACAAGCCCCTGCCGAGTCTCCACTCGCCCGTCAGCACGTAGGGGATGTAGAGGGGGATGCAGAAGCCGCCTGCGGACAGAGCTCGGCGGTGACACGTGCAGCGCCGCGGACCGCAACCCTCCGCCCCTCCCGGCGCCCCGGAACTCACCCACCAGGAGGTCGGCGATGGCCAGGTTGAGGAAGAAGAAGTGGCCCTGCGTGCGGAGGCTCCGGTCCACCACGAACGCCAGAATGACCAGGGCATTG